GCGTGGCAGCCCGGCAGCGTGTTTTGCCTCCACATGGAGCCAGCGTCTGACCGGCATGGGCATGGTAAGGGGAGTCCTGGGGGGCAGTCAGGGAGCAGGGGGAGGGTTGGAAGGGTCAGGAGTTCTGGGGGTCCTCTCAGGGGGCGGGGAGTGGTTGGATGGGGCGTGGGAGTCCCGGGGGTCTGTCTGGGGGTGGGGGTGTGGATAAGGGTCAGGGCAGTCAAGGGATAGGTATGGGGTAGGGTCCTGGGGGGCAGTTAGGGTGGGGGGGTCTCAGGAGGGGGCAGTCAGGGGACAAGGAACAGGGAGGCTTAGGTAGGGGGTGGGATTCTGGGGGGCAGCTAGGGGCAGGGGTCCCAGGAGGGGGCAGTCAGGGGACAAGGAGCAGGGTTGGGAGTTCTGAGGGGGGCAGTCAGGGGGTGGGAAGTGGGAGGGAGTGGACGGGGGCAGGGCCCCCCTCACCCCCCCCCGTCCTCTCTTTTGATTGTTGAAATATGGTAACCCTAGGTGAGGTGGGAGCCGGGGGGCGCATGGGGGCATTTTAATGTGTATTACCGGCACGCGAAACCTTAAATTAGAGTGAATAAATGAAGACTCGGCACACCACTTCTGAAAGGTTGCCGACCCCTGGCCTATCATATTGTGCTTGTCACAGAAACTGACTTCAACCATTTCTCTGTGAAATATGTAAGCTATCACATGAAGTTTGTCACATTTTTACCCACACTACTCTTGAATTAGTTAATTCAGATGCTTGTTTTGGCAGAGAAACCTTTTTTTTTTTGTAATTATTTGGGCCAATAGTAGCAACCTTGTAGAAGGGCCATCTAAGAGTGCGGATCTGCAAAGGCAAAAGAGTTATCTGGCTACAAATAGCGTTCTAAGTATAGTGCCTCTGCCAATCGTTCTTCCCTGCTTCTTCTGAGTCCTTAGTGGTACTTCAAAAACGGAAAGAGATTGAGAATGGTTTGGACTACAGACCTTTATATAGTCTCATGCCAGACATTCAGACCTCTTTAAGAACGTGCACAGCCTCAGTAGTTCTAGATAATTTTTGGATCCAAGGCTTGCACACTTGTCAAGGGCATTTATCTCTAGGAGCACTGCATTTGGAAAACTCTAGCTGTATGTGAGTTACTTTCCTTTGCCTTGCCAGAATTATAATAGTGGCATGTTGGTTTTTCACTACCTACTTGAAGGATTTGATCCCGAGGTGCTGAGCCTCTTCAGTTTACATTGCCTTCAGTTAGGAAACTGATTGCACGTTAGGGACCTAAATGGGCTAAATTCCCTGAATGTAGCCTGATTACTGTCAAACTGGAATATCTGATACTAAATAATGAGGTGTATCATTAAACACAGGTATAGCTAAACTGGTGCGACAGTTTGATTAATTAGAAGAATCTCATAACATAGTGAGAAGCTCATGAATAAATGCTAAATAAAATGGGTTAGAAGGATTATTGAAAGACTGACACACAAGCTTTTGGTTTAAATATTTAAAAAAATTCTCTTTGACAATGTGTTCTACCCTCTTATATTCTCTTTGGTAAAAAAATCTGTACTTTATCTTCCAATCCCATTAAACACACCTTTATTCACTAATCTCAACTCTATGACTCTTAGGCCTGGTCTACGCTACAGAGTTAAGGTGACAAAAGGCAGCTTACGTTGACCTAACTCTGTAAGCGCCTACACTAAAATGTAGCTCCCACCGATGTAACTTGCCCCCTACAGGGACTTAATAACTCCATCTTACGAGAGGCGTAGTGCCTAACTCGATGTAGTTAGGTCGCTGCAGTGTCAGTGTAGACACTATATTGTTTACATTGATTATTGCTGCCTTTTAGAAACTGCCCCACACTGGCAGTTAAATTGGTGCAAGCGCTCCTGGTGAGGATGCGCACCGCCGACACAGGAGCATAGTGTGGATCTATAAAACCATTCAATTACTGCGGGGGCTGTACATTGATGTAACTTAAGTCAACTAAATTTTGTAGTGTTGACTTGCCCTTAGTTTCAATTATACCACCATTTTAAGTTATGGTAGGTATAGAGAATCTAATGTATTTTTATCTTTTAATACAACTACTTAAGAATAACTGAACTTCCAAATATTGAATGTTTGACTGTACCCAAATAGAATAAGTACTGTTGTTACTTTGCAAATCATAAATGTAGCACTTAACATGAGATGTAAATATTTTTATCAATATAGAAATTTTAAAACTGTAACTTATGTATTCTCAAATGCAAGAATCCACATTAATGCAACATTAAGCTACAGCACTTTTACATCTCACCCGAAAGACCAAGCAATGCATTGTCCCTTAACACCAGAGATTTTTATAGTGAAAGAAATTAAACAAAATCGGAAAATGTAAATTCAGGTTCTAACAGCAACATTAATTTTGATTGTATCTTGAATATTTTATGATGGAGTAATGGATTATATTATCAAAAAGCTCTGAATAGAAAACATTATAAATCAGCAAAACAGCTGAGTTAACATTGCTGGTAATACCTTACCTCTTTTTTGCATTTTCTGACTTGTAATTTTCTACTAATCAGCTATAATGGTGCAGTTACATAGGGTGGGATTTTGTGTGTTTGAGAGATTTAATTTCTTGTTCTTCTTTTTAAATAGAGGGAGGAAATAAACAATAATAGTATTTAAATGGTCCCATTTAAGCTTTGAAGTTCTCACTGTATTGGGGTGAATGAGGTGTCAGTGTTAGTCATTGACTGGATCTTTACACAAGAAAAAGAAACTAATCAAATATAACAGCCTAGAATTAGCAAAATATTATGGAATAATGCAAAAATGGCAGAGATGCTAAAACTGCAGGATTTGCATTTTTCTTCTTGCTCATTTTCAATTTTCTCCTATTCTTGTAAGCTTTTTTATAGCAGGATATCTTGGGGTGGATCTTGCTCTGTCCTTCAGCGAGACAGTCTCTTTCAGTCAGATTGTCTCAGGAGCAGTATCAGCATCACTCTATACTTGAGCCTCCTTGTGCAGCCACGTAGAGAGAATGATAAGGTGATATCATGTATAGGACAGAGCATTGTGGGATTTACTAAAGCTAAAAGCTTAGCAATTAGCTACTGACAACGTCAGAAGTGATATTTTAAATAGTTTTTAACTTCTTTGAGGTGGCCTCTGTATATTCCCACTAGGCTCAATGGTGTGTTTCTGGAACATTTACAAAGCAGTCTCTCTTTGGGGACAGCATTATTAATGTTTGTAACACTGAACTTTCCAGTCATTATTGTTACATAAGTGAGGTGCAGCCCTAACCACTTCAGATCCTTTCTTACTTCCATAGACAGTGTAATAACTGCAGGCGGTACTCAGGTCTGAATTGGTCAGACTTTATCTCTAGATCTCTGTAGATAGATTTTAATTAATTTCTAATGGTGTTCATTTTTAGTGTTAGGATACTTTTTGATATTCATCATTTTTGGGTGGCGGGGGGTTTAAGGTGTGTGTGATGCTAGGTTTTATGGGGACTCTGTTATGGTGGTGCTCATCCGGGAGCAGAGGAAGGGATTTAAGAAATACACCTTCTCCCCTGGGATTTTCTGAATCTGACATCCACACCAAATACCTTTCTCTCCCCCCCCCCCCCCCCCAGCAGTTTGAACAGACACAATCTGTCCATGAACCTGAATCAAAGGGTTTGTTTGATACACCCAGTGTAAACAAGTTATATATTCCCTCTGTTTCCCGTCATACTGTGTATTTAACTTAGAAACTTTTCATTTACATTTAAATACATTGGAGCTAGACTTTGTTGATGCATATTGACTCACAGCAGTACACTTTTAATCAGGTGTTTAATCAGATACTTATGCAACATAAAGCTTTCAGTAATTGATATGCTTTCATTAGTTAATTTCATGCCATCTTGCGCAGTACTCTTCTGGGATGAGTGAGAGTCAATGTTTATGGCAATAAGATGGGGAAAGTAGATGGCCTATCCTTGGGGCTAGTGCTTCATGTGTAAAGCTGATTGTATGAAGTCAGCCACTGAAGAGTTTGGAGGCTGGTATTTCTTTGTGGCACTTGGCATTCATTTTCAATGGGGGAACCTGTTAAATCTTGTACAATGGCTCATGGCCTCTTTAGCAAGTAGTTTCCTAATTATTTCTTTATCACCCATTTCCCTTCACTTGTTTCATACATGGATACTTTTAACATTGATCAATCTGATCTTCAGTTTACAGACCAAAGAATGCCCCCCCCCCTCAAAAACAAAAAACAAAAACATGATCCCTTAGAAGGAATGTAGATTTCTTATCAATTGTCAGTCTGGTTCACAAGTAAATTTTGCATATGAAAAAACATGTAGTGTCATGAAATATCAATCTGGTTCTCCTTAGAGTCATGTTTTTTTTAAAAAAAATTAGATTTCCACATCAGTTCACACTGTTGGCATTTCAGGTTCAAACAAACCACAAATCTCTGTGGCTCCCAGCCAAAATGGTAAAGTTTAACCTGGGTTCCACCCAAAATCACAGATTTGGGTCTAGGAGATTCACTGATAAAGTTGCTACTTCATTAATAACTATTATACAGTTTTAAAGAATTGTGCCATTCTTTGTTTCCCAATGTAATGTTATGTTTGGAATTTGTGTGTCTTATTTGTTTAGTTTTCTTTTATGGTAAACATAAAATATTACAGTGAGTGTTGAAGTTGGATTTCACTTGTATTTTATGCCAACCTTATGCTTTCACACTATTTTATCTCCAAAAGGTGATGTCCAGCTGCTTTTCTCAAACCAAAATTCTAAACTGTTGCAACAGTGATTTCTCCAGCTTGTACCAATTCTGCTTGGAGTTAATTCTTACACAGTTATTATAATGAAAAGTGGTTAGCTAAGGAGCCAATAATGACCTTTTGAAAATACTGAAAAGACTGTTTATTTGACCTGTTTCGTGTAGGAAAGAAAGGAAAAGGAACGAAAGCTCATCAAAAAAATGGCAGAAAAAGCAGCGAGAGATCTAGAAAGAATCCAATTGCAGGAAAAAGCTAAAGGAAAGTATAAAGAATGGTTAAAGAAGAAAAGAGCTGAAGAGTCTGAGAAGAAGAAGAAAGAGGAGGTAGAAATCATTCATCTTCTTTGATATCAGCTTGTCAGGCCCAACCTGTTATACGTGAAGTGGCCTTGTTTTGATTAAATTAACATTAGTAAAAAAAATTTGTGGGTATGCGTATATGTATGTATATATGCATACACACTATGGAAGCCCTCCTTGTGATTCCATACTTAAGACTGAGATGAGTTTCAGTTTAAAGCAGGAATTTAACTACTTGAATACAGAATATTCCTGAAATTACAGCACTTAGTCTTGGGTACTGAATGAATTTTCTGAGAATTTATAAATAAAGCTGTTAATTAGGTGACTTAAATTTAAAAAATTGGTACTTTTAAGAAATTTTATACCCTGTGTCAGATCACTTTTTATGACCTGAATGATCTTAATAATGCAGCCCCATCCAACTTCCCACATAATTAAAACTCATTGAAATCTTGTGCATTGGCTAAGTTTCAAGACTTTTTTTAAGGATAAATGGTCATTTTCTTGCCACTCTTTGTAACTGAAAAATTCTCCTTCAGCAAGGCCTGATAAATGTTCTTCTACAGAAAATTCCACAAAGAAATGCCCTCTTTCAAAATGTCTGCAATCGCCTATTGTTCTCACTGGGAGCAATGCAACTGAGCTGTCACTATCTTTATTTAAAAACAACAACAAAACAAACAAAAAAAGGTCCTTTCTTGAAGTGACCACTATCCCCAGTTGTTCCCAGTAGGAATGAAGTCCAGCTGCCTTCAAGGAAGGTGATGGCACCCTATGCTTTCAGGGACAACTGTCTCCTTGAGTATGTCTTAAGGCTGGCAGAGCTTTGTGGTTCTGTCATTTTTAATCAGGTGCAAAGCTGCAGACTGCAAGTACCAGCAAATACAGCTCTACCCCGATATAACGCGACCCGATAGAACACGAATTCGGATATAATGCGGTAAAGCAGCGCTCCGGGCGGGCGGGGCTGCATGCTCCGGCAGATCAAAGCAAGTTCAGTATAACGCGGTTTCACCTATAACGTGGTAAGATTTTTTTGGCTCCCAAAGACAGCGTTATATCGGGGTAGAGGTGTAACTATCTAGTCTGATCCACTGATATGCTTTGTATTTTTGGGGGGAGATTTTTACAACTATTTCAGAGCCAACTACTTTTGAAAACTTGGAATATTCCCGTTAATCTTTTAGTGATTTGCAGGATTGACATCAGAGATACTTGAGAAAACTGAGAGCTGATAGCAAAAAGGAGAAAAATCATTTGTTTATAAAAATTTAATTTATACTTAAACAAAAGGCACTTGATTTAATGAGTACAGTGGGTTTTTTATTATAACAAATTTGTAAACTCTCTACCTTCCAAGCAATTTCTTCTAGACCTATTTATGGCAGCAACCTATGAAGCTGTGGGTGGGATTCTTAGGAGCTTAGCACAGAAGCACAGCACAGAACTTGTAGGAAGCCATCTTTGCACCCTCCTAATCCTGGACTTCTCCAGGTATTAGAGAGGACCTTGGAGTAACTTAAATATTGCTGGGGGCTGATCTAAGTTTGGGAGCCTCTCTGGGCCACAGTACTATCCAGAATATCTGTGGTGCTGAGAGTTGTGCCCCCCTACACTAGGGTTTGTAGAAGGGTCCTGAGAAGGTACCGTATATACTTGTTCATTAGCCCGTTCGTTTATAAGCTGACACCCCCCCCCCCCAAGATGGTTAGGTAAAAATAGCAAAAACTGTATGACCCTTTCATAAGCCGACCCTATATTTCAGGGGTTGGCAAACTTTGGCTTCCGGCCATCAGGGTAAGCCACTGGTGGGTCAGGCCATTTTGTTTACCTGGAGCATCTGCAGGCATGGAGCCCCTCAGCTCCCTGTGGCCACGGTTGGCTGTTCCCAACCAATGGGAGCTGCGGGAAGTGGCTTCCCACAGCTCCCATTGGTTGGGAACAGCGAACTGTGGCCACAGGGAGCTGAGGGGCTCCATGTCTGCAGACGCGCCAGGTAAACAAAACGACAATGTATTAGATATTCTATTCAATGATTCCATAGAGTTTAAAATCATTAAATTTTGGTGTAGACCTGTTTATAGGTTGACCCCCGCTCTTTGATGCGTCACTTTTTTACCAAAAATATTCAGCTTATGAACGAGTATATATGGTAGTTTATGGCTTCTACAATACCTGTGTTGGGGGGAATCCTCCCCCAGCTGCTTATGGGCTTTTAAGATCTCTTTACACTGCTCAACCCTTTTACCCAGTGTAAAGGAGTTGAAGGAAGGTAAGGATCTCACCCTGATCACTTGATGGTAAATGTTTCCATTCTTTAAAGTATTAGAGTAAAGACCTGCTCATTGTCTTTGTGGTGGACAAATATATGCAATCCATTTGCAGTACTGCTATGTTTACTGTTGTATCTTGGTCATCGGTGAATCCAGGCTGAATAGTAATTTGATACTAAATCATTTAAATATCAGAGACTTCTAACTGGATGGGCGTACAAGGCCTAGGTCTCATGTTAAATTATTTTATGCAGCTAAAGGATGGAGCAAATTAGTCTTTCTACCACAATGAGCCTTGCTGGATGGCATATTTTCCCCCTTGGCACTTGCCCACCCCAAATGATATCCATGGGACAATGATTTATTAGCAGCTGCATAGAAATAGTAGTGTTTGTGTGTATGTGCATATTCATTCAATGATCAAGTTTATTTTTGGACAACAGTCATATAGTAGACATGTTCCATAGGTTTCACTTGCACAAAAGCTACTTAACATTGGCCATATCATTTGGGAAATTATCATTTTTTCAGTCTCTGAACCTTAGGGTATTTGTTTGTTGACTGTGCTATGGCAAATGAATACACAACAGATATCTTTCTACACAACAACGACAATTTTATCCGGAATGTGGCTAAGTAACAAACACTGATGCTGTTGCAAATCATGACAAAATACACATAACTTCAGTAGCCTAAAAACTCGAAACCTTATAAAACTGAAGTGATCTGTTACGAGTAGCTGCTGAACATTAGGATAGAAGTTTGGTTGTAGGGAAATGACTTGTAGTAGTAGATAAGAACTTCTGCATATTTTGTACAAAATTCTGTCTCTGGACATTTTATTTTTCTTCACTTTTAGGAAAAGGAACAAAAAAGGGTAGCTGAATTACAGGAGAAAAAAGAGAAATCAGAGAAGATATTTAGAGAGTGGCTACAGAATGCCAGAAATAAGCCCCGCCCAGTTTTACACGGTTATGGCTATACCAATGGGAAACTTCCAGGTTTGTACTTATACTAGACACATACCATGATGTCTATTTAAATATTGTGGCAATCTCAGGCTTCATGATGTCTTTTTTCCAGTTTATTTAAATTTAATTCGACATTCTCAGCCTGAATCTAATATTGTCACATTAGTGAGTAGATAACAGATACAGTATATTACAGATATATTGCAAATATAATACCTTTTTGTACTATAAGGGCTGTATTGAAATATGTATTTTATACTCATTCAGTATTATTAGGCAACAAGCATCTTGTGGGTGGTTTTTGATTTTTTATTTTAATTTTTGTTTTTTTTACTCTGCATTTTCATCCACTTTGGACAGTGAAATTCAGTGATGTCGTGAGAGACGGAGAAAGGAGAAGAGGGTGGGACACAGGTATAATTAGGGGTAATGGGATGAAAATCAGAAAAGGAAAGTTTGAGGCTTATTATTGAGAAAACCTTCCTGATGGTACCCCTTTGTGCCCACTTCATGGTCCCTAAATGGACTGTGAGGCATAGAGTGGCATCACCACAGTCCAGCATGCTCTGCTGGGCAAATATCCTATGTCAGGAGTAGGCAAGCTATGGCACGTGTGCCGAAGGCGGCACGCAAGCTGATTTTCAGTGGCACTCACTCTGCCTGGGTCCTGGCCACCAGTCCAGGGGGCTTTGCATTTTAATTTAATTTTAAGTGAAGCTTCTTAAACATTTAAAAAACCTTATTTACTTTACATACAACAATAGTTTAGTGTTATATTATAAACTTATAGAAAGAGACCTTCTAAAAATGTTAAAATGTATTACTGGCACGCGAAATCTTAAATTAGAGTGAATAAATGAAGACTCGGCACACCACTTCTGAAAGGCTGCCGACCCCTGTCCTATGTGGACACACTCACAAAGTTAATGTTGCAAAAAGCAGCTTAATGTTCTCACTGCATATGCGGTCTTCTCAGAGAAGGGTGTTTTGTGGAGGTAATGGAGCCAGTGAGAGTATCACTCCTAAAGGATCCTTCAATATCTTCATTAACGACTTTAGATATTGGCATAGAAAGTATGCTTATTAAGTTTGCGGATGATACCAAACTGGGAGGGATTGCAACTGCTTTGGAGGACAGGGTCATAATTCAAAATGATCTGGACAAATTGGAGAAATGGTCTGAGTTAAACGGGATGAAGTTTAACAAAGACAAATGCAAAGTGCTCCACTTAGGAAGAAAAAAATCAGTTTCACACATACAGAATGGGAAGAGACTGTCTAGGAAGGAGTACGGCAAAAAGGGATCTAGGGGTTATAGTGGACCACAAGCTAAATATGAGTCAACAATGTGATGCGGTTGCAAAAAAAAGCAAACATGATTCTGGGATGTATTAACAGGTGTGTTGTGAGCAAGACACGAGAAGTCATTCTTCCGCTCTACTTTGCTCTGGTTATGCCTCAGCTGGAGTATTGTGTCCAGTTCTGGGCACCACATTTCAAGAAAGATGTGGAGAAATTGGAGAGGGTCCAGAGAAGAGCAACAAGAATGATTAAAGGTCTTGAGAACATGACCTATGAAGGAAGGCTGAAAGAATTGGGTTTGTTTAGTTTGGAAAAGAGAAGACTGAGAGAGGACATGATAGCAGTTTTCAAGTATCTAAAAGGGTGTCATGAGGAGGAGGGAGAAAACTTGTTCACCTTAGCCTCTAAGGATAGAACAAGAAGCAATGGGCTTAAACTGCAGCAAGGGAGGTCTAGGTTGGACATTAGGAAAAAGTTCCTAACTGTCAGGGTGGTTAAACGCTGGAATAAATTGCCTAGGGAGGTTGTGGAATCTCCATCTCTGGAGATATTTAAGAGTAGGTTAGATAAATGTCTATCACGGATGATCTAGACAGTATTTGGTCCTGCCATGCGGGCAGGGGACTGGACTCGATGACCTCTCGAGGTCCCTTCCAGTCCTAGAATCTATGAATCTATAAGGAGGCCTGGCAGAAACCTGGCAGGACATCCCCATGCAGAGCCAGCCCTCCTTTCCACGTGGATCTCCGGACTTGGAGCCATGCTCTTGTCTTCCTCCACAGCCCTATTCTTCATTCTCTTCCTGCTCTGAGGGAAGTCTAAGAGGAATGTCCATGATAATCACAACATGGAGTTTCCTGGGCCTCTGTCTTCAGTTTCTGTGGGGTTGCGGGGGCGGGAGGAAGGACAAAATGGAAAACTGTTACAAATGGGCATGTTGTATTATAAATGTGAGGCCTTAACTGATATTGAATATATACTTCCTTTTTTTAATTTAATTTTTTGCATTTTTCCTTAAATTATAAATCACTGATATTATATTAATTTAAAACTTAAAATATTTTTTGACAGGGAGACTACCAATCTCCAAGATCTGAACACAAAACAGCTCTCACACCAGACACACAATCAGTTGCTCTTTTGGCTAGGTCTGATTATAAATGGTAATACATACTGCTTTCAAGCTTTGTGTTGGAACCTCATAACTTGCTGACAGCTGCCATCCCTTGTCTAAGTGATTTATTAAAAATAATTCTATACCCAGTTTAGTTCACACAAAAGAACATGTTCCAGACGTTGTTTTGACCACCCTGGTGAAGTATGTGTTGAAATTTCATTACAGACAAAGTGGCTTGCCATTGCAAGGGTAATACATTCCTGCTGTCATGGTTTAGGCTTCATGGTTTGGCACATAGATCATTAATTGCAGATAGTGAATGTTTTTTCCCTTGTTTGAAGAAGGGTAACAATTAAGCAAAGATTGGAATAGAAACGTGAATTCCAGAGACAAGGCTGTGGGAAACAACACTTACAAATTAAGTTTGAAAATAATACCAAATGGTAACTTCCTAACCGTGTACATGCTCCTTTAATGTTTGCCTTGACAAGCATTGTTCTTGTTACACAGTATTTGACATATTTATATTGCTGATCTTTAAAAATACAAATGGGGGATGTACTTACTGGGTGAATACAGAGGTGGATGACTTATAGCCATCAGTAGAGACTGATAAATTGTTCTAAACTGTTACATACCATGTCCCATTAAAGATCTTAAAGCTATTCTAAATTATAATGTTTATAATCAAGTTATTTAATTTAGCCCAAGAAAGAATTGCTAGTCAGGAAATGCCCCAGGTTAATCCAAAAATGATCTGGTACACTTCAATTTTTTATTGTGTTTTCAGTATAAATATTTCTTTTTTCTAATTGTGTGTGTTTTCTAAATATTTTAGGATACCCCAAAGGAAATTCATATCCAGCTCCAGCCTATTGTAACCCTATTCCCTGGAAACCAATTCATGTGCCACCGCCTAAGGAAGACAAGAATGTTACAGTGAAAAAAAATAAGAGACCTATATCCAGTCAGTCATATAGGTCCTCAACTATGGTAATCCATAAACCCAAGAACAATCTTTGTATTGGATCATTGCACAGAAAACAAAGATAGTATAGGAAGCAAAATAACTTTTTTTTTATTAGCTTGATTTAACTAGGTTTTAAAGTACAAAAGTTATTTCTTGGTTAAGTGTTTCCTTAAATGTTAAAAAAAAAATACAGTGTTGAAAGACAAAATGTTACCAGCTTTTAACAGTTGTGATCGTTTAATGTTAGCTAAGGAATATCTTTTCCAAAGACTTTTTAACTGAGTTATTTTAACACTTAGAAAATTATCTTTTAAAAATATGTGAACCAGTTTTTTTAGTCACTTAAGTGACCTTTATGTTTATTTTTAAAAATTTTATATGTAGCCAGTTATATTGCAACCACTCCTTGATATCAATAAAACATTAGTGATTAGTTTTTGTGATTCTTCAAAGGGGTGTGATGGTTTTTGTTTTGTTTTTTTTAAATGTGTTTTCGGTGGTTAGTTGGGCTATTATGCTCATTGTTTTAAACATGCCAGGTGCAGCAAATTTTGACAGGTTTTTTGAGGGGGGCGGGTAGGCACGGGGGGGGGGGGGGGGGAGAAAGGAATTAAACTTCATTTCCCAGACTCAAAAACTTTATGCTCCAGAAAGAAATATACCAGTACTTATTTACAAAATAAACAGTAAGTATTACAAAACCAACATGGGACCCATTACACAAATTCAGTGTTGTGTTAACCAGAAAATGTATTATATATGTTATACTTACCTAGAATCTTTGGTTGATTGCCAAAAATAAAATGATCGTGCTACCCCAACATAATAATTCTGCTCTTTTAAAATAAAATTATTCTTTGTGGATAGTAATTGTAGGAATAGTAGTCAACTTCACCTTCTTTCTAGCTGATGGAGGGAAAGAGCTTTACGTGAAACTTTTATTTGGAGAACACACACGTTTTAGTAGTTTACAATGGACTGAGAGGTCTTGGGGTTTTTTTGCCTTTTAGAGAAATTAGTTTATACAGTATACTTGGCAGTTGGCATTATCTAGAAAATATTATCTTACAACAATGGAATGCAGCATCTTAGGCTATGTTTACACTGCTACTTATATCGGTATAACTTACGGTGCTCAGGGGTGTGAATAGCGCCCCCCCACTGCGCCTTACAGCTGCACCGCTGTTAGCTTTTTAGTGTAGCCATAGCCTTAAAGAGTGGTGGTCGATTGCTTTGTGAAAGATGCATGCTTTAGGACATTAAGCTGTTGCTAGAGCAAATGGATATTTTGTTAGGGTTTGTCAATGATTTATCATGTGTAAACTTGTTTCTTTGTATGATGTCTAAAACAAATTTTCACAAATTACTTCTTGTTCATTTGTTTTTTAAACTGTTGAAAGTTTTCCTGAAAACCCATTTAATTTGTCTATGAAACTTAAATAGAATCATGGACATAAGTTTTTCTTTACAAAAATTGAAATTTAAAAAATGAATTGCTATGGAGTGCAATTACTTTTATTTTAGTCAATAAATGCTGGGCTTTTTTGTATGGGAGAGACAAGGTGGGTGAGGGTAATACCTTTTATTGAACCAGTTTCTGTTTGTGGAAGGGACAATCTTTTGAGCTTCACAGAGCTCTTCTTCAAGTCTGGGGAAAGAAATTAGAGTGTCTGAGCTAAATACAAGTTGGGACAGATTAAGGATAATGGGTAATGCATGTTGTAGGTGGTCATTTGAAATAAAGTGGGCAATTGAGGGTTAGATTGTGTCCAATAAAAGATATTACCTTGTCTCTCTGTATCCTGGGACCAGCATGGCTACAACAACACTGCAAACATATTTGTATTACCGTAGCATCTGGAGGATTGGGGCTCCCTTGTGCTAGGCACTGTACACATGGTATGAGCCTGTCCTTGCCCTGAGGGTTTATTATCTAAATTGACAAACCAGATAAAAGGTAGGAAAGGAAACAAAGGCTCAGAGTAGGTGAAGTGATTTATCCAATGTCAGACAGAGTCTGAGACCAGACTGACTCCCAGCCCAGACCTCTATCCACTAGAAGCAGGGGTTCCCAAACTGTGGTACATGTAACTCTGGGGGGTATGTGGGAGAAAGTGTGTAATGGTGGATTTTATTTATTATTTGTTGCATTTTCATAATAGGCTACTCAGACAAAGCTTTAAAACTGTTGTATAAAATATGGTAGTTAATTTACTTCAAGATGTACCAATGAGAGAACAGAGATGCTGACTAGAGCCCTCACCTACAATCACCGTATAGAGCAGGTTCAGTTGCCCACCAACTGTCCAGTCTAACTGATCTCAGAACTTACGGGGGGGTTTCGCTTGTATAGGTCACACTATAACTACAGCTGTATGTAACGGTGAAATATGAACAGATGGCTAAAGACAGGTAGTGTTAAGAAGAACACACAAAGTATCAGTGATGAGAAGGGTAAGAGTACACAGGCAGCTGATAGATCTAGAAGGGGATACGCAATAAGAAAAGTTTAGGAACCTCTGCACTAGACTATCCTGCCTCCCAATAATTTTTGTAAAAATGAAATATTTCCTTATGATAAATCAGCAGCAGTTTATTTTACCGACTCCATTTTTAACCAGGCAGCTAAAAGTAACATGCCTCTAAGATTTTAAAAATTCTGCTTCCCTTGTGTAACAGCTTTATTAATAATATCAATACAGATCTAGGACTAAACTTAGTATTTTTCAACTGGCCGGCTTGTGAGCACATTGGGCCTGATTTTCCAACTTTAAGGGCTGGTCCACACTAACCCCCCACTTCGAACTAAGATACGCAACTTCAGCTACGTTATTCACGTAGCTGAAGTCGAACTATCTTAGTTCGAACTTACCGCGGGTCCACACGCGGCAGGCAGGCTCCCCCATCGACTCCGCGTACTCCTCTTGCGGAGCAGGAGTACCGGCGTCGACGGCGAGCACTACCGGGATCGATCCCAGAAGATTGATTGCTTACTGCCGGACCCGGAGGTAAGTATAGACGTACCCTAAGTGTGGAAGTCCACAGACGTCAATGGTGTTACTCTAGTGCAAAACTAGTGTGAGAGTTGAATCGGGCATAATGTATGGGAGTTCTATAAAAGTGAGTTTCAGATGATTTCATATACAGTTGATTTCTTTATATGCCATGTTAAAATGTGCTTATATAGTGTCTTATGTTCATATGATTTGATGTATTCATATGCACGAAGAAATATAAAAAAAGTAAAAATCTCAAGCAAATAAAATGAACCCCCTTATGAAGAATGAAATTAGACAAGGGTCTTCAAGAAACGTAGTAAGAAATAAACAAATAACACTGGTAAATATACGGAGTAGTGTCATGATTGTTTTGCTTTCCAATTTTAACCGAAGGATGGAATTTTTCAAAAGCACTGAGAGTCAGCACTGGCCTAACTTTGTTTCCAAAACTCCCATTGATTTTAATAGGTGCAGATTTAGGACCAGTCTGAGTGCTTTAAAAAAATAACCCCCAAAGTTTTTGAATGTATAGCTATGCACTGTTAATCCTGCTTGAATACAAAGAATGTTGTGTAAGTGGAACTGTATTTTTATGGATTTCGTATGAGCTTGAAACTTGGCTCAACTATCAGTTTGGTCCATATGGCTTTTAAAAAAATGCATGTGAATAGAAATGCTCTGACTCATTGTTCAGACTGAAAAATGCAAGTTCATACGTTGTAGCTAATTAATGCTTATTAATTTGTACTATAACAAGTGTGTAAATGGGGAGTTCAGCTCCCAAGGCAGCCGGGAGGTGCTGGGCCTAACATTGATGAAGATAATCAGTGCCTCTCCTATGAACAGGCCATCTGCTTCTCTTCCAAAAACACTGGTGTAGCCTATTGTGCCGTCTTATCTTCTGTGGTTACAATTAATGAAAGGTTGAGGTGAGACGAGTCTCATGGTATCTAAATTTCTAAGACTTCCTTGTCCCTTGTGAACTTGGGTAAGATACCACATGTGCTAGTTGTGTTAATTGATCTTCTAATAATGGCTAAGATCTGGCCAAGTGAGAAACACTTGCTGTAAGTAAAGAGCTGCCTAAGGAATTACATAAGATGCCTCTCTTCCAGCACCTGAGGATTGTTGAGCCAAAAGGAAGCCCAGCCATGTCCCCAGCAGTTGAGAAGGGATATAGAAGATATTATGATGGGTCTATACCTCGTGAAGATTTTGGTAGTGCTTTACTTATGCTGGTTCAATTTATTTTACTTTTTACTTTGGATTTGGTTCCATTGATGCAGTGAAGTTTAGCTTCAACAAGGCTTTACTTCAAAGCCCTTCTGTACATCAACAATCATTTGCACGTATTAATGAAAGAATTTCTTCCAGGTGTATTTTTGAATTTTTATCCCATTTGACCTTTCCAGAGTTCCATCCACAGTCCGACTAATAATTCCCATAATTATTGGGATATCTTCCACATGCTGAGGTCTACCTGCAGTTGGGTGCACACACTCACTACCTCACAGGACATTATAGGGACAGATCAACTACTTATCTACCCAGGCATTTACAAGCATGGCGCTCTCACTGCAGGCATATGTGCTCCCTTCTGATTTGTAGTCTCTCTGAATTTGGCCCTGTGCATTTATAAAGGCTAACAATTACAACTTTCTAATGTTAGGAAGTATAATAACCGTTTCACTGCCTGGCTACTGTGGGCTGGATTTGCCAGTTCACTGAGGTGTGGTGCAAAGTGGCCTCAGCGTAGCCAGAGCCAGCCAGTGGAGAATGTCAGGTGTAAAGCTGGCAGAGGCAGCATTACTACCTCCTCTGCACCTTTCCCATCTTCATCTCCACCAAAAGGGGAGGAAACAGGGCCGGTGCAACCTATTAGGCGACCAGGGTGCTAGCATTTGGGGGGCGGCATTTTCTTCGGCGGCGACCACAGCGGCTGGATCTTTGGCCGCCCCAGTCGTCGTCGGCATTTAGGTGGAGGGAGCTGGGTCAGGGGGGTGCGGGGAGGGCCGCCTGCAGCAAGTAAGGGGGGGGGGCAGCATGCAGGGGAACTCCCCGCCCCAGCTCACCTCTGCTCCGCCTCCTCCCCTGAGCATGCCGTCCTGCTCTGCTTCTCTCCCTCCCAGGCTTGCGGTGCCAAACAGCTGATTGGCGCCGCAAGCCTGGGAGGCGGGAGAAGTGGAGCAGCGATGGCGTGCTCAGGGAGAAGTGGAGCAGAGGTGAGCTGGGGTGGGGAGCTGCCGCACGGCTCCCCAGGCGGGGGGTGGGGAGCTGGCACGGGGGGTGCCTCAGGGCGGAGCGGGGATGGGAGCTGCCGCAGGGCTCGGGCAGGGGGCGGAGCAGAGGTGAGCTGGGGTGGGGAGCTGCCGCACGGCTCCCTGGGCAGGAGCTGCCACAGGGGAGGCGCCTCAGGGCGGAGGAGGGGGTGGGGAGGTGCCGCGGGGAGGTGCCGCAGGGCTTGGGGAGGGGACGGAGCAGAGGTGAGCTGGGGTGGGGA